AAAAGATACGCATTGTTGGCTGTGTGAATAACCAATACCAATAGACCCAGGATACATTGGGATAAAACTCTGCATGCCTTGAATACATCCGAATCATTGACTCCATCTTTATTGGAGTGTCGGCACGTGTGAGCAACTGAACTTGTAGAGATGTACAGAGATGCAGTTCCATAGTGTTAACAACAAACCTGGAATGCATAAGTAAGATTATTTATATTGTTGCACTAAAAAAGGGGGACATCTGGGGGGGGGGGGGAACCAGACTGCTGGATTTCTGCTGCTAACAAAACATTGGAATAAAGGGAAATATTAAAAGGGATTGAGTATTCTGGAGAAAAGCATGGTTGGTTGGCTGGTTGGCTGAAACTCAGCAGGAGCAATCAAGTTAAGGAGATGATGATACTTTCCAACCCAGAAAGACAGAGAGAAAGCTAGAATTTCAATTGCATTTTTGGATCCAGCCGTTTGCTATGATTTGTCTTGTGGCTGCCACTGCTGTGTTAGCGCTAAGTGAAAAGAGACTGAAACACAGATCATCTGAACTGAAGAGTGTTTGTTTTGTGTTCCTGTCTATGTGTATACTTCTAATAAAAGCTCATGATCTTATCTGTTTCATCTGCATGAGAGGAAAGAGTAAACATGACTCTGTGAGCACTCATTAAGTGATAATAAATGACAAGCACCCTCCTATAGAACAAAATGGCATTCCTGGGAATATTAAAGGCCTTCATTATCCAGATCAAGATGTCCTACAAAGAGCCTTAAAGCACAACTGGATAGACAGACAAAGCTGCTTCCTGGAGAGTCCTCCACCATGGAGATGAGAAGGCAGCAAAGAGAACATCAAGGAGAAGAAAAAAGAGGGTGTATTTCATAGATTCACAGTACTGTAGATTTGGAAGGGATTCAGAGGGTCATCTAATCAAACCTCTGACCAGTGAAGGAACTCATAGCTAACACAATATTAATAGATGTCCACCCATTCTCTAACAAAGAGAATCCACCACTTTCCGGGGTTGTATATTCCACTCTTGAACATCTCTTGCCTTTATTTAGTTGGAATCTCCTTTTCTTTGTAATTTGTACCTACTGGTTTGGATCCTGTCTTCTGGAACAGCATAAAACAATCTTGCTCCATCTTCCACATGACATCCCTTCAGAGATTTCATGGTGGCTACCATAATGCTTCTCAGTTTTCTCCAGGCAAAACATACCTACTTCCTCCACCATTCTTCATAGGGGAAAGTTTCCATAACACTCCCCCATTTTGGGTTGCTGTCTTCAAGACATTGGACTCCAAAATTCCTGGTTTAAACCTCCAAAGAAAGCCAGATTTATGCCTCAGTCAATGCTTGGAAAATTCATGATTGAATATGAGATGGCCTGGTGCTCAATTTCAATCCATCCATTATTCACTTTTCCTGACAATATTTGGAATTCAGAGAGCTCTTGGACTTTCCATCATGGATTTTTTTTTTCTACTGTGGATGACTGATATTGTAATTGGATCATTATATTTATCTTTGGCTCCATACATGGGTCTTCCATCCATTATAGCCTGATGACATGTGTAGTGAGATTGTTATTGCCCATAGAATTGGCTTTTGTATGATGTACCTCCACACAAATTGACAATTGATTTTCAGATTCTTATATACATGATGGCCTTCACATTGCCTGTTGCAATCTTTATGACAATACAATAAATGCTTGGTCTGATTCATATTCCAGCATTGGAGTATTGTCTAATGCACAACAGATGGTTTTTAATTCAAGTAGGCACTGGCTTTCTGTCTCTTTAGCTGTGAAGGTAAATTCCACCCAAATCATACTAAGACATATCCTACCAGCATTCAAAGCCACTTGGGATAAATCTACACTGTAGAAATAATGCAGTTCAACACCGCTTTAACTGCCATGACCCCATGCTATGGAATTCTGGCATTTGTAGTTTTTTTATCCTTCTCTGTCAAAGAGCTCTGATGCTATAACAATTTACAAATCCCAAGATTCTGTAGCATGGAGTCAAGGCAGTTAACGTGTTGCCAAACTGCATTATTTCTGCAGTGCAGATGCAGCCTTGGTTTCCATACTGTTTACAGTCTTTGTCATCCTCCACTAGAGTTCACACTGGAACAAGCATTGGGATTCTTAAACACCAAAGAAAGCCAAAAAGCTCCAAAGCCTAAAACTGGACATTATCTTTCTTATGCCAATGAAAAACGTACATCTAATCAGTACTTTTATCATGATCTGCCAAAATATTTTTCATGCGGACAATGAAGGGAGACATTGCTTAGATGTCCCAATTGTAGTGAAAATGAAGCACAGCCGGGAATTGTCAGAGGTTGGCATGTTCTGCAAGCTTCTTCAGACATAGCAGATGGTCTATGGTTGGCACACAATCTAAAGAGGAAGCTTCCTTCCATAGTTCCTGACCATGGTGGCTGGTGAGTTCCATACCAGTACGACTGGTGACTCCACTCCAGGTCTTACTCTAAACTTTAAAAGATCTGTCTCTTTTCTTTTTATTCCATTTCTCCCTTCTTCCCATTCTCTCTTCCATCAACTTTTCTTTCGTCTTTCCACCACCGCCATCTCCCTGGATATTTCTCTCATTCCCTAAAGTGCAGAGTGAGTGAGGAGGCGTTATTACATTTTTTACTAAGTCGTGCTTTTATCTGCCATTCGTGTGTCATCTTTGATTCTCCTGCTCAACTTGAAAACATTGTTCTTTGTTATGTGCACGTGTGTGTATGCTATCTTTGAAGAAGAAGAAGAATCAATTTTTAAGGAGGCAGCCATGGAAAGGAGCTTCTTCTGTGTGTTATAACTGATCAGAAACCCCAGTAATATCTGGGGATCAAGTGGCTGTTGAAGCTGAGTCCAGGAGAAAATGTCCTTCGCTTGCTATTCTAATTTGACATTCCTTCTAATTCTCAACTTTCTTTCAACAGAGGTGTAGAACTATTCATGGAGCTGATTTTATTTCTGCAGCTGGGCAGCTGAGATCTCTGGCACTGGCTCCAACCATCAAGCAGAGGATGATGTTGCCTCAGGCAACAGATGTGAGGTGGTGTCACAAAAATGGTAGTGAGTTTTTTGTTATCTCCTGGCATTCTGCTCAGGACCTATATCTTTACAGATGGCCTCACAGATGAGCAAAATTGAACTGAATGTCCATATTCACCTAGGAACTGCCACAGTGTTACAACATACTGGTATCCATTATGCAATGGTAGTCAGTGGAATGACTGATGCACCATGTCCTGATGAACAATGGACACTGATGCACATAGGGGCAATTCCCACTTCACAAGCAGACTATGGCTAGAAAGTGCCAGCGAACAGCAGAAATGCCTAATATGCATCAGAAGTGCCCAGTGTACATCAAAGTGTCCAGTGTGCCTTAGACGTTCCCAATGTACATCAGATATCCCCAATGTGCATCAGAAGTGTCCAGTGTGCATCAGAAGTGCCCAATATACATCCGTTTGCACAGTGTATATCAGAAGTCTCCAGTGTACATCGGAAGTCTCCAATGTGTATCAGATGTGCCCAGTGTGCATTAGACATGCCCACTGTACATCAGAAGTATCCAGTGTACATAAGAAGTGCCTGATGCACATCAGAGCACTGATTCCTTGTCCCACTGACATGGAAGCTGCCACCAACACCATTGCCTTAGTCCCTGTGTTGCTCTTCCTTTCTTTGTAAAAACCCAGATGAATTGGTTCTAGTTGGGAGACCTGAGAAAATAATCAGCATCTCTCCTGCAAGGAGGGACTCCCATACAAAACGTTGTTGGCTAATCTCACAAAGAGGCACATCTGCCAGAGACCCCAACGCATGTCTCTGTCCAGCTATCTGGACTCCAACTGAAAGTGATATTTAAGGCAAAGGCTGGAGTTCTTCCTCAGGTGAAGCTTCAATCCATGCATTTTCAAGAGAAAGGCTTTGATATGCTAAATTCTTCAGAGAGGGAAATATTCACCTCTGTTTAAGTGGTCACAGAGTTTCCTCTGAAGCAGTGCGTCAAGGTTTAATACTCAAATACTTTGAAGATCTGTGGTTTTATCCATGGAGATAGTAACTCCACCCACACTGAGCAAAACTTTTTCACACCATCCTTGTGTTTGTAGCAGCTTTGGCCAAACGGTCAGTCAGCAGCCTGTATATGAGTGGAGCAGATTCAATTTTAAACATCCATCCAAGAAATTGAACCTATTTAAAGATAAAAGTTCAGGACCTTGTGTGGGACCTTTAAATCTCATTGGAAAAGTAGGTTTTGGCCATTTATACTTTATTTCTGTTGGACAGTGAATGAACTGTGTTTCACTGTGAAAAAGACAAGAGAGAAAGAGAGAGAAGGGAAGAAAAATTCAGTAGACACATTCTCAGCAAGTTCAAGCAAGCAAGTGCAATTGCTTTCCAAACCAAGATACCAGCAAACCTAATTTAAACTCTGTTGCAAGTGACAAAAAGAAAAAGAAAAACCAGC